CATTATGGAGAGTATCAAGAATAATGCTTGTTCTTTTGTTACGATGATATTTTCTTAAGGATATTCGAAGAGAGATCTTTTAGTAGTGGCTTGATGGTCCGGTGGGATGATATGATAGAATTGTGGTTGTAATGAGTGGCAGTAGAGGTGTTATGGTGTGATACTTAGTACTGATGAGTAGAGTGGTTTAAGGTAGGATCCAAATGCAGTTTAGAAATTACGAGTTGTTTGTTATGTGTTGTCAGGTAGGTGATGGATTGTGTGACAGTTGGAACAATTGTGGAACGGGTGATCATGTGTCATTGTATTGCATAGAATTTCTCATTGGGAGATTTTTGGGTAGGATGGGACGCGATTTCCAACGTACAGTGATGGTTCCTAGTGTTAGTATGTTGTGGGCGTTGGTGTTTTTATCTGATTAGTTTTGGTTAGTATAGTGTTGCGGAGAAGTGTGTGCGAGGTTTTTATGTTGATTGTGTAGGATGGTCCGATAATGGCGAGGTCACTTAGATTAGTGTTCGTGGTCCCGTATGTGTTCCAAGTTGGTTCTTCTCCTTATGTATAAGGAGTTCAATTTATCCCAGCTGAGATTGGGTGTCCATGGTTGGACAAATGATGAGTAGCGTGTTACAGGTTATCGGGTGCATTTAGGTGTGTGTCGTCGGACTCTTGTGAGAGTGGGGTTTGTTACCCTTTCCATTTGTTCTAGTCTTGGCAAGGACTTCGGTTGTCGTGAGTCTTGTTCTCCAATTAGGAGTTGTGCGCATCCGTGGAAGGATGGACCTGTGTGTGGTTTGTTCTGTTGTTAAGGTTCATCGGAAGAAGCTTCGGTTGAAAGGAGTCGATTCACTCCCTTAAAGGGAGGTTTAGTCTTTGGTTTCTGTAGTGCACGTTTTGAGTGTGGTTTTGACCAGTGGTATGTGAGGCACGAGTTGTAGAATGGGGATTGTATGTTTTCAATGTCTAGTACTAGTGGTGGTGGCAAGGAATTTGTTATGAATGAAAAATTGAGAATGATTAGGTGATATGATGTGACTCATGTATTTGGATGTTTTTATAGGTGATTGATTGTAACAGTGTTTTGAGGACAGGTGTTGATATTGTCTTATGTAGCTAGAGAAGGATTATAGGACTCTATTGAGGAATAATGAGAATGATTAGCTTTGGTTTTGAGGTTTCAGACATGAGATAGTTGTATTGTGTGTTTTAACGAGGTTTGAATTGAATCGAATGGTGTTATGGAGTTATTTACCTTATATGGGTATTATGAGAAGGTGAGGAAGCTTGGATGATGATCGATGATTGAGACATTTGGTGCCTTGTCATTTTGTTTGTTATGGTTATATTGTTGAGGTATGATTGAGATTATGAGGATAGGTATGTTTAGAGAGTGGATTTCGTGGTTGCTTTGAGAACTATATGAGGTTGTGTTTGAGGTTTAGACCTGACGACAGGAACGACATCTGTGTTGAGATTGGATCGATGATGATAACGGCATGGCCAACCATTTCTCTTGAGTTAGTCCATCTTTAGCACGATGTCGGGTCAAAGGTCCATGATTGTTTTGGTTAGTCAGGGACAGTGAGAGCATAGCATTGTACATTGTGCCGATGTGACAGTGTGGATTTCGGTGGTTGATCTCAAGTGATGGGGTGTGTTAGGTAGCACCAAGTGTCCGATAAAGGGTTTGTGGTATGATCATTGATTATTGAAGATCTTGTTTTAAGGATTTGTGTCTTGGGTATAGGATGGTGCGTTTTACTAATTTGGTGACTAATGTTTATGTAGTCATTGGGGGATTCATTGTTTAATCATCTTGAGGTTGTTAAGTACAACAATTGTCATACAATATGATTTGTAGTTGTTGGTACGGTTATGTGGTGGTGTAGCTATGTACTAGATAGTAAGTGTTTGGTCAGCCAGGGATGTGTAGGTTAGAGTTGAGATTGATTGAGAGAAAGACAGGATTTCTTGTTTGGGGTTTGGTATGTCCTTTGAAGGATGTGTTGAGGTTAGATATTGTCTTTTTTTTTCGGTGATCTGATAAGTGTCCTTTTCCTGGGTTTTGGAGCCATTTGTGACTGTGTAGAGTAGACTGATATTCGTTTTGAGTCAGGCGTAAGGTCAAGTTGGTCATGTGTTATGATGAAGGGAGAGATGGGCAATTGCATAGGGTTTTGGTGGTAGTGATGTGTGATTGCCTGGTGACGTCCGATATCAAAGGTAATAATGTCGGTGGGTTCACAGTCTTGATGTTTTGTGAGGTGTTTTTGGAGGAGAGTGTGTGGCTGTGGGCCTTCTTCATAAGGAGGGTAGATTTCAAGGGCGAAATCTCTTTAAGGAGGGTAGATTGTGATGTTTCCAAATTTTGGTCTTGTTTTTTTTTTTTTCGAAAATTTTGTTGCAGCAAGGGGCATTTTCGTCTTTTGCTGTTTTACGTACCGGACACCGTGGAGTGTGTAGGTTGTGTCTGAGAGCTGGTTGGGGCATTTCATTGAGTTCAGGACTTATTGAAATGCAAGGTTAGTCATTTTTGTATTTTTTCGTTTTTCGGACCGGACAGTCCCGCGTGGGATCCACTACCGAAATTGTTGCATACGGGGATTTTAGTTGGGTCCAATTGCATTATATTTATTTTATTTAATGTGATAAGTGGTTATGGTATGGTGATATATATATATGTATATATGTGGTGTAAAATGAAAGTAAAGGAAAAATGAAAAATAAAAGAAAATTTGTGGGGCTCACATCTATGTTTTAAGAGAGAGAAAGAGACATTTTTGGTCTTATTTCTTTCCCTTTTCTCTCATTCTCGTTGGTTTCTCTCTCTGCTTCTCAAACTTTTATTTTTTCTTTTTTTCACTTCAAGGCTTTAATTCTTGGTCTCTCCTTCAATACTTGGTATTTTTGAGTGCCGTTTGCGGCAAATTGAAGCTCACGGCGAGATCTACAAGTTGATTGGAGCATTTTCTAGTCTGGTGCACTTGGGAATTTTGAGATCTAGGGCATTAATTTGAGGGTTTTGCATAAAATTAAGGTATGAGTTTTTAATACATAATCTCTTGGATTTTTGTGAGTCAATTCCTCCTAATTTGTGTTATTATATGATTAATTTTGTATATATTTCATGTAAAATTTGCTATGTGTTGTATATGAGATGTATTTGCATGCTAAGTTGATATGTGATGGAGAACTATGTTTAAATGATGATGTTTTCATGCCTATTGCGTTATAAGTGATGAATTTTGTGATTAGAAAGCTTGAGATATATTTCTAGCATTTTTCTTTTGAATTAAAGCATCTAATTATGTGAATTAATTGATGTTGTATGAGAAAGTATGTTTAAGTGGTGAATTTCTATGTCTAATGTGTTTGATTTGCTAAATTTTCATTATAGAGACATGTTGGTTATTATTAGAAATTTCCTACAAAGCTTGCTATATTGTGAACACATGACTTGTAAAGTATGTGATTCCCCTTTATGATATTGTTGAGAATTATGATGCATTCATGCATAGCATTGGGCAAGGAAAATGGAAAAAATTGTTTTGAAATGGAAAAAGGGGAATTTTGGGAAAAAGATTTGATGAAATGGTTTTGTGAAAAACTCAGTCGCCGCGGAGCTACCAAAGGGCCGTGGTGTTAATATAACCTAGAAGGAGCTAAGGAGATCGCCCTAGCGTGGTTGAGCTATCTGGGCCCAAATGACACCGCGGAGGTACCAATGGTCAGGGACAGTAGCCAATCCTTCCCTCGTGTCGCCGCGGAGTCACCAACGGACGGGTTATATTAACAGTTTAAAAAGTGATGGATTTGGATTTTGAAAATAGGGAGTGACATTCATGGCATCACATATCATGGCACGACATTGTTATTTTGGAATTGGAATTAATGATGTATTCTTTCCCGGCATAGTATGACCCATATCCTCTGTTCCTATTCATTATTTAGATTCATGGAGTTACAAGGGGTGTGTCTTAGGCACCACTTATTGAGCAATTTGCTCACCCCTTATATTTAATATTTTTTAGGACATGGATGGCAAGTGGTGGACGATGTTCCTCCACAGGGTTCGATGGGTTAGTAGACTGTTTTGACATACTTTGTAGCTATAATTTCATTTTATTATTCTTATTTATTTATTTCTTATTACTTATATTTTTTATCAACTCGGAATGACATGTATAATATGTATTGACGTAGGAAAGAATGGTGTTGTCCCTAGTTGACCTCGGGTTTGGTTAAGGACCTGGTTCGGACCTACGGGTTCGGGTCGTTACATTATGCTAAATCAAACAACCAAACCTCTTTTAATTTCTTCGCCACCTCCTCAAACATAATCACCCGTTCCTCGTTTGAATAATAATGAAAAAATCTATTGTAATCAAACCTAGGAACTATTCATCACTCTCTCCACATATTTTGTTGCTTCTAAAAACTTCCATGCCTTTACTAAACCGCAAGCAACTTCATTTGCCCTTCTCAACTTCAAAAGCCCTTTGATCACAATCCATGAAAAACACACTTATATATGGTTTCTCATTCCCTTCCATAATCTTATAAGCCTCTCTAACTCGAGCCTTTATCAATAGCCCACAAATTAGTGACCCCAGTGTCAAATTATCAGCTTCAATCCCTCTCTTATGCATTTTTTCAAACACCAAATCAGCTTGCCCAACCATACTTTTTTTTTTTGTACACATCCAAATGATTACAAGTCGTTGATAAACCCAAATCATCAATCATTTTGGTCCTCATTGATTGAAAAAGCTCTATATAATTGATTAGTCTTGAAAAGGGTCTCCATCATTGTCTCAACTGTATATCCAATTTTGTTAGCAACAGCTTAAGTATGCCTTCTGAGACATAACCACACTAACCTATGCATTGGCAACAAACACTGTGGGATAATGTTTGGTTTTGTAGTCCCACATCAGGAAAACATAAATGTGAGGTATCTAAAGAGTCCTATATATTAAGTTGAAAGCCTAAGGGACAACATACTTACCTGGACGGGATCAATGGGCGATCAATAAGGCCTATGGTCGAGGTTGGTGACCTCCATTGCACTCAGGAGGGGTGCCCGCCTAAGTTTACTCAAGTAGTGGAGCCTATGCCATACTTTGTGGTAGTGGGAGTCGGTGTTTGCGCGGCCCCTTCCGTATTTATGTAGTTTATATATAGGTTTGGTTTCAATGTCTGCCTTAGATTTCCTTGTGCTTTTTTTAGGTTAGGTTACAAACATATCAAGTGTATGCTGCTTCGAATAAAAGGTATGGCTTTTAGTTTATCCAAGAATGGTAAACATATAAAAATAGGTGACCACTACTAATAGTTGTAGTAGATTAAGATTGCACAACTATCAGTATCTCTACAAAAGTAAAGAAGTATGGTTTTCCCTTTATTTTCTACCTCTCTTATTGTCAGTTGGTTATCTTGCTGGAGAGTTCCATTCCTTCCCCGCAGCCTAATCAATGGGCGCGGATGCAGTTTCATCATTCTGAATCACGTGCTCCAGTTTGTTACCTCGCGATGAACTCTTCATTTCTTTCTCCTTCGTGACTCATTCAAGAACATTAGTAAGAGATCGAAACCACCCAGCTTGTAAAAGCTTCAGATTCAACCAATATCATAAAATGACGAGCCTCAAAAACATATGATTTTTTGCTATGGTGTCCTTTGGTTGCAGCTGACTTTGGCTTTTTTGGGTTGCCTTTTTCTGATTATTCTTGCACTAGGGAATCGGTTGATGGTAAAGCTTCAGCATCAACAGCAGCTGGTGCATCTTACTGGATTAAAAAAAATCTTCCATGCCCCTTTTGTCTTTCCCTTCACCTTCAAGAAAACTAAAGCACTAGTCCTGGTAGACGCCATTGAAAGGATTTTTTCAGTAAGCCTAACCATCTAAACCTTTCCCTTACTTGGCTACTTGTAAAGTCTATGTTTAGGTATCCTAAAGCACGCTCCACTAAATCTGATCATCTGTCTTTCGGCTCATCAAGCTCCATGTCAACACTCAAACATACTTTACTGATTCCTAAACTTCTGCCCTATCAATCAAATTTATTTTGTAAATCCTATTTGGAAAGATTCGCTTAAATTATTCATTTAATTATCAATTTACCACCATTCCACTCTTTCCCCCATTGATTTCATAGCATACACCTAGTCAAAATTGATCACCACATTTACATGTTCAAAGTACAAAAGTGAGAAGTAGTTCTCGTAACAACTCAAGTGAAGAGAATATCTAAGGGAAATAAATCATATTAGAGGTGGTTTTGTTAAACCGTTTTATGTCATCAATTCATTATTCTACAATGGTAATTCGGTTTCATTGTTTCTGTATTACATTCCCCTGTAAAAGTAAAATAGCAATAAATTACTTAAGCAAAATCTTTTAAGCAATCGTCAATAGGCCATAATTGCACTATCCAACAACTAGTTAGCATCAAAGAATTATCTAATCTCATTAGATACTTACCAGCATTTGCATTGACCTCTTTTCCACATTCTTATCCAATTGTCTAACACCCTCGAAACGCCCTTCAGATCCTGAATGCAACCCACTATCTGAAAATTCAGCAATAGCATCCGAGAAAACTTTATCTTTTGAGCTGTTCGATCTTTCACCAACTCCACCACTAGTGAACTCTTTACTACTACCTTTCTCAATGTTTGGACCTTAACAACCAATTAGTAGACAACAAACACATGTTTCTTCAAGAAATAATCAAATAAAGAAAGGAATTCATGAAACAACAATTATCACCTGTGTTATGGCTATTTCATCGGAGAGGTTCCCCCTGTTTCTCCTCCTATCTCTAGTTGCCATTTTCTCCCCATATCTCGCAAAAGTGTCTGCTAAATCAAACAACCCAACTTCTCTGAATTTCTTCCCCACCTCTTCAAACATGATCACCGCTTCTCCATTTGAATAATGATGCAAAAATCTATTTTAGTCAAACTTAGGAACCTAAAGTCGTCTCTCCACATACTTTGTTGATTCTAAAGACTTCCCTGCCTTCACTAAACCGCCAACAAAAATGGTGTCAAAATTCAGTAGTGGGTCTGATCCCTTCCTCCCTCTCTTCCCTTAATGCCCTTGCAGTAACATTATACTACATATGTATGCGTTGTAGCCCCTCTTTTATCATCTCTCCAAACACTTGAGATGCCTCTCAATCCATGATACACAATTATATCCGGTTTCTTAATCCATTCCACAATCTTATAAGCCTCTCTAACTCTACTAGCCTTTGTCACTAGCCCATAAATTAATGACCCCGATGTCAAATTATCCGATTCAATCCCTCTCTTATGCATTTCTTCAAACACCAAATGAGCTTGCCTAAGCTCTCTTTTCTTGCACATCCAATTGATCACAGCCCAGTACGATGATAAACACAAATCATCCATCCTTTTTATCCTCATTGATTGAAAAAACCTGAATGCTTCGTCGAATTGATTAGTCTTGAAAAGGGTCTCTCCATCATTTCTTCAACCATCTCAGTATCCGCCTGGAACCCTTCATCAACCATCAAATTCCAAACTTTAGAAGCCCCAATGAACCAAGATAAGAAGAAGATATGCATTCAACATATCTTCAAGGGTCTCTCCATCATTTCTTCAAGCTTGCTCTTGTATTAGTATTTGACGATAACAAAGGGTAAGGGCCCGTTTGGCATGCGCTTTATTTTAGGCGTTTTATTTTTAGCTAAAATAGAAACAGTGTTTTTATTGTAGAAGTGTTTTGAAAAAAAATCAGAAGCACGTTTGGGAACGAAATTTTGCTGTGGAAATGTCGGGTCGTGTTTCGCTATTGTTATGGTTTTGGGTCATGAACAGTTGTCAAAATAAGAAAAAATAACTTTTTGGTGTTTTGGTTTTGGTGTTTTCGCACTATGTATAATAAAATAAGACTGCACCAAACATGCTTTTGTTGTCAAAATTGACACTGTAGCAGCCCAAAAACAAAAACAGTATTAACAAAACGCATGCCAAACGGGGCCTAAGTTTACACAAGTGAAGTGATCTATCATGATGTTCTCTTGTCCCACATCAGGAAAACATAAGTTGGAGTTATCTCGACAGGCCCATATAATGAGTTGAAAGCTAAGGAGGGGTGCCTGTCTAAGGTCTACTCAAGTAGTGGAGCCTACATCATAATTTGTGGCAGTGGAGGCTTGCGTTTGCGCGGCCCTTGTAATGTTTTGAGTTGTTTTATATATATATATGTTTATGTTATTAAAGTTATTATAAAAGAAAATAAAATAATAGGTGGGACCCACATGCATTATAACAAAGGTAATGGCTAAACCATTACCATTCGGCAAATCCACGACCAGCCTCTCTCGCTGGAAAAGGAAAAAAAAAATTTCTCTTTTTCTTCTTCAACTTCTATCCTTGATTGCTCTTCAACCACTTGGAGTTCTTTGGAGCCATTTGCGGTGCGGTAAATCAAAGAGTACGGTGAGATCTACGTGTGAGTACTAGCAATTTCAATTTTAGTGCACTCTAGGGATTTCAAAATTCTAGGGTTCTTGGGTTCAAATTGGGAGTTTTCATCAAATTGGAGGTAGGGGTGTTCTAATGCATGAATTCTTGTATTTTTGTGAGTTTCTAGCTTAAAGTGATGCCTAACATGTTTAATTAGTGCTAATTCTTACAAAGATTTGTTTTAAATAATGAGCATGGAATGTATGTGACTACTTGTTAATTGTTTAAAGGTGATTTAGCATGCTTACATGTTTATATGAAATTGAATATATATTTTACATGCTAGTTATACAAAGTTAATATTAAATGAGAGCTCCATCATGTAGTTTATAAATTTGCTTTGTATAATATGTGTGAAAGTTATATGGTTGGGTTGATAAAGTGAAGCACAAGCATTCATGCATTCACTGGGAAAGAGAAAGGGGAAAAATATTTTTAGAACAAACGAAATTATTTTGGGAAAAAATATTTTCTAAAAGTGTTGCGAAAACCGGACGCCTAGGAGGCGCCTAGTGGTCCGTGATATTGGTGTAGTCTAGAAAGGAATGTAGTTGAGTAAACTAGGCTGGATGAGACGCCTTGGAGGTGCCTTGTGGTCGTGGATAGTTAACCAACCTTCCTTTTGTGACGCCTTGGAGGTGCCTTGGGTCGGATTACACTAACGATTTGGTTGTTGAAACGGAATTGTTTCCGAAACGGAATTGTTTCGGAAACGGGGAGTGGCATAGGCATGACATTGCACTTCATGGTACATGTGGGAAATTTATGATTGGATGTTATTTATACTATGCTTGTTGTTGTGATTAAGATTATGTATTTCACATGGTATGACCCTGTCCCTTTTTATCCATTCTTTGTGTGGGATTCACGGGGATATAAGAAGTGTGTCTTAGACACTTTCTATTGAGCTTATGCTCAACCCATTATTTTTTAACATTTTTCAGGACACGGAAAAGAGGTGGCGGACGACGATCCACCACAAGTTTAGATGTGATTGGAGACATATTTTATTTTGCTATCTTTTATATTAGAACTATAATATTTTATAAATGTAATCTTAACTATTTTGTAAAACTTTAATTTAATTAGTGTAATGTTGAAAGTTATGGACTTTAAAATTTTAGCTATATTTTATGGACTGTAACTTGATGTAACTAAAGTGTGTTCCTTATTTGGATGAGATGGAGGAACGGAACTTTTTGTATGAATGTAATCATTTAGGGAGTGTGATATAATAATTGTATTGTGCATTGGGACATGATAGGTTAGTTTTAAGGCAAGTGAGGCCATTGCATTATTTTTTGTATTTCAATAGGTTGTAGAAGGACTTTTTTTGCACAGGTCATGCTGAAACTTTTTTATATTTTATTATTATTGTTTTGGTGTCTTTTTAGGTCGTTACAGCCCCTGTCCAATTATTAAAGCCCAAGTATTTTAAATAGTTTTGTTTATGTCTTAAGACTATAGACAAAGCCCAGGGTATTTCCTATATAGCGTTTTGGTTATATGGGTTTGGACCTACGAATTGATATTTAAGATTTTGTATTTATTATTTTTGGTAAAAAGATTAGTGTTCAACATTGCTCCATTTAAATTAAGTAACTAAAGGTGTTTCTATTTTGTTATAATTACTCTATTATGAAAAATCCTCATTGTGAATC